ACCCCCATGTTTGCGTCGTCCTCGTCCTTCTCGCGATGCTCCTCCACGCCCTCATCCTCGCCCTGATCCTACTCGTCCTTATCCTGCTGATCAGCCTCATGGTCGTCTTCCACGTCGTCGTCCTCGTCCTCATCCTCGTCGCCGTCATCATGCCTACTCCTCCTACCCCCGCCCCGTCCTCAATCCCGCGCCGTCGCCGCCGTCGTGGTCGTCGTGGTCGTCGCGGTCGTCGTCGTCGCTGCCGTCGTCGTCGCCGTCGCCGACCCGCCCGTTCTACCTCCTTCCCCTCGTCCTCCGCCGAGCGGGTCCTCAAGGAGGAACTGCGCGATCGTCTTGAGCTGGCCCAGCTGCCTGTGCTGGATCTGCTCGGCGACGGCGATCGGCGGCTCGATCTCGTCGCGGGCGGGGGCGCGGCGGCGCGCGCGGAGGGAGGAGCGAGGAGAGGGCGGGAGGGTTTGGGAGAGCGGGGGAAGGGAATGCGAGGATGAGGGCGAGGGGCACGTCACGGCGTGGAGGGGGGGCGGGGGGGCGGGAAAAGGAGGCGGGCGAGAGTGGAGGCCAGATGGGACCTCAGGGGGAAGAGGGGGCGGTCGCGAGGAGGAACATCAGGGGCCGATGGAGGGAACGGCTGAGGACGATGAGGGGCATGAGGAGGAATATTTGGACAAGGAGTGGGGAGCGGGAGGAGCAGGGGGGCAGCAGCAGCAACGCGATGAGCAGGATGGGGAGGGTGAGGGAAAGGAGGGGTGGTGATCGGGGAGAACAGGATGACCTGGAAACGCTGGCCTCCTTCTCCTCCTCCTCCTCCTCATCGCCCCCCCGTGCCTCCTCCTCCTCATCATCATCATCACCATCATCCCCCCGCTCTCCCCCTTCCTCCTCCTCATCATCGCCCCCCCCCGTGCCTCATCATCCCTCTCGGCTGCGGTCCTTGTTCAAGATCATGGCCGCCAAGAGCCTCTGGTCGGGAGTGCTCTTCGGGGCCATGGCGAGGGTGTTGGCGGTCGAGGCGACGAGGGAGGGAGGCGGCGCGCGGGGAGGCCGAGGCGCAGGGGGGAGAATCCACAGAGCCGAGGGGGGGAGGAAAGGAAACCTATGCGAGGAAAGGAAACAGATGGACAACGAAGGGGCAATGATGGGGGGACCCTCCGCCACCACCTGCCCCCATCCCCTCCTCGCCCTACACCCCTGCTCCTGCCGCTCCGTACTCCCTATCATGCGCCTCCTGTTCCCTCCTCTCCACCCCCGCCCAACCCATCCTCCCCCCGCCTTCCCTTTCCCCCGACTCGCTGCCTCCTCCACTTTTTTTTTCTGCGGCCCCTGAGCTGGCCAAGGGCCCCCCCCCGTCGAGACCTGTACCGACGGGGGTTGGAAGGTAGTGAATCAAACTGATGCCAGGTGACCCCTGGAGCACCGCTCCAGTGGTCACCGGCGGGTACCTGTAGTATGCAAAAGGGGGGAAAGCCGTCAGGTAGACCAGGGGAGGAGGGGAGGAGAGACGGAGGAGGCCGCTTACTAGAGGCCTCCTATATGGGTTCCAAGTAGATGGGGTCGGAGGATCGCGCCGCATCGCCGATGCATCGGCGAAAAATTGGCGATGCAACGGCGACGCATCGTCGATGTCGGCGATGCATCGGCGGCGCCGACGTGGAGAACATCGGGCTCCACATCGAGCCGCACCGCCGATGCATCGACGATACGGCGCCATCCTCCGTCCCCATCCACTCGGATCCCAGCTAAGACGGCCTCGACTTCTAGCCTGCCAACTCCGGCCCCTCCTTCTCCGCCACGGCCCCGGGCGTCCCGAGCCCGAGGGGACCCCCGGGCCAGGCGGTCGGCGGCGCCTCCTGCTCGCCCCGCGGCGGCGGCGGCACCGCCGCCTCCTCCGCCACCGCCTCCTCCTCCTCCGCCTCGGCCTCCCCCGCGATTCCAGGGTAACCGTCGATCCGAAGAAGTGGGCAGAACCATGAAGTAGGACGGCGCTGAAAGTAGATTGGGCTTCCGCCCGCCCACTGAAGAGGAGGGAAGAGGGAACGCCACTCGAGCCCATGAAGTAGAAAGGCGCCTAAAGTAGATTGGGACGTGGGCATCCAAGCAGACCTACTTTCAACGAGCGACGGGTACAGGCAACGTGTAGAAGAAAGACGCACAGTAAGGATGCCAGGGCCTTGGAATGCCATGTCGACGCTTTTCGAGCGGGGTGCGGCCGGCGAAAGAGGCCAAGGTTGGGCCGAAGGGTAGGAATACAAGGGTCACATGGTACAGTAAGTATCCTTACTGTCCTTGTTGACTGTACTCCCCGGAGCCCTCCAGGGGTGCGCTGTGACCAGCACTGCCGAGTGGAATATAGCCGTGGCGGCGATGAAAGGATGAGAGTCACCAAGGGCTGCTGGGGATGATGCCCTGGCTCGGCAACGCAAAGGTGAGGTCCTTCTGCGAAGGCCTCCTCCTTCTCGCTCCTCCCCCTTGCTCGCAGCCAGCCAAGGAGGAGGTTCTGAGCAGCGCGAAGTCAACCTGGAAGCTCGTTCCTGTCATGCCCTCAGCCGGGGCCCCACCCCATCCAGACCCCAGCGTCTGACTCCCGACTGGCCGCGCCCACACAGGCGGCGGAGAACAGACAGGTCTGCGCGCACGAGGGCGCGGTGGCACTGCGCGGTGGCCTACGCAGGCCGCGACAGTCGGACTTACACGACAGAAGGACACCCTTCGAGAACATGAAGAACATTCGAGGGTGCCCACCGAAAGGATGCACAAAGAGATCCAACATACACGAGAACATCAGGGTACGTACCCTCCCCGAACCGACCTCGATCTTCTACCTCGGTCCGACTGTATAACGAACCATACCGCGAGGAAGAGACGGCGCTCGCGCACAACTCTGCGCGAGAAGCTCTCACGCGCGCGCGCGTCCGCGCAGCCAGAACTCTGGCCATCCAAAGAAGGCACGGGGCCTCTCAGAGGTCCCACTTTGCTCAGAGATGCATGCCCCCCTGCCTTCTTACAAGACCACCCCCCTCGCCCCTTTGGTGGCGCGCACCAAGGGGTGGAGGGAGGGGGGACGGCTTCTTCTCAGACGGAGGCTGCTTCTTAAAAGGCGCTGGCCCTGCATCTATGGATGAGGCCCGCGTCTTCTAAGAAGCGGGTGTGCGTCTAAGAAGCCTCCCCCCCTCCCCCTGCCCCCCTCTGCGCGCGGCTGAACCCCACTCCCCTGTGCGGCCCGCTGGTCCAGCTGCTGCAGACGGCTCATGGCGAGGGCCCCAAGGTGCTCCCCGAGGCTCCGAATGCAGGAGCCCAGGACAACTCAGGACAGGGACGCACCTGGTAACACCCAACCAGCTTCCCCCCTGTCTGCAATTCCATGGGAAGGGGGATGGGAGGCGGAAGGGACGGCTGGGGGAACACAGAAATCGATAGCGTGGCCGAGCTCGGGCCGCAACGTTCGGCCACATAGGCGGTTCCATAAGGCAGGAGGGGGGGAGGAGGGGGATGCGGAGCGGGAGAGCGGGAAGCGGAGGACTCATCCCCCGCCCCCTAATCCATCCCCGTCCTGGTTTGCCCCCCCTCCCCTCCTGCACTCTCTCTTTCTTTCGTCTCTCTCCCTCTCTCTATGTATATAGTTGTTCATGTGGTTAGTTAAAGGTGTCTTAATTTCTCTCTCTCTCTCTATTTCTCTCCCTGCCATCGCTCGGATGCCCACGGCCCGCGCAGGTTGCGGCTGCGGGCGCCTACTTGTTTTTGCAAGGTGATCTGAGATGCTCCTCGAGGGCCCTCGCCACGAAAAAAACGCACATGTCATAGCGATGCAAGTGTCTATCCCCTCTCTCTCTCTCTCTCTCTCTCTCTCTCTCCCGGCAATCGATCAGACGTCCACGGCCCGTCCAGGTTGCGGCTTCGGGCGCCTACTTTGTTTGTAAAGCGAGCCACGATGCTCCTCGAGGGTCCTCGCCACGAGAAAAGGCACGCGTCCGAGCGACGCCAAAAATGCGCCTCGAGGGCCCTCGCCACGAGAAAAAACGCAGACGCCCGAGCGATGCCGAGCCTCCCTGCCTGGCAGGCTTCCGCGCGAGGGCGCGCAGGCAGGCCTCTGGGCCCGCGCGCGCCACGCGCAGGACCGCGGTGCTCGCGGCCCCCTTGCCGAGACCCAATGGGGTGAGGGGGGGGCACACGAGGGTCAAGTCGGGCATCTCCTCCTGCAAACGGATTTTGGAGGGGCAATGAAAAATAACAACAACAAAAAATGTTCAAAAGTATTCAAACATAGTTTAAACCAATCGCCCCCATACTACTGGTTGCCTACTTTTGACTATTCCTCCTGCAGAGGGACAAGCCTGACTTCACACAAGGGCGGCGGCGTGCCGTGAAGCGAGGCGAGGCGGGCATGTCGGCCCCTCACGCGGTGCGGATAGCCACACACGGCGGCGACGGGGGCGACGCGGGCGGCGACAGCGACGACGAGGACGCAGAGGGGAGCCCGTCGACTACGAGGACGACGAGGGCGGGGACGACGAGGAGCACGCAGGCGTCTCGAATGGAGCGAGCGGACAAGCAGGCTTTGAGGGGCAGCGATAGAAGGGGACCATCTCGGGGGGGGGGGGGAACATCGAATTGGAATCGGCGATACACCGAGGATAGATCGGCGATAGGCCCACGATAGCAAGACTGCACGGCACTGGGCGGGGTGAGCAATTGGACCCTCATCGGCTGTAAATGCGCGATAGGGAGCCGATGCACCCCTCCCTGAACCTGCCCCTCCTGACGTTGCCCCCTGGCCAGCGGCCGTTCGGGATGCTTCTGGCACCCCTGGACCGCTCTCGACGAGGCGCAGCTGCTGGAAGACATCCCGAACCTGGAAAAACACCAGAAACCGATACAACGCCCAAAAACCTCGAAGCCCGAACCTCGCCCTGAGCCTATCCCCCCCTGGTGTTACCCCTGAAGCCTGGCTGCCGCCACGTGGGACCTGCGCCGCACCCAGAGGGGCGGGGAGAGTCGTCGCGCGCCTCGGACACCGTCAGTGTCCCGTTGCGCTCGACGTCCAGCGCGCGGAAGAGTTTCTGCGGAGGGAGGTGCGCATCTCCGCCCTGCCCACCTTCCTCCTTTGCAGAATCCAGACGTGCATCTCGGCGGACGGCGTGAGAAAAGATTGGACAATCTTCGCCGGCCTTTGTGCCCTCGCCATGTCCAGGGACCGTCCAAAAAATGGTTTGGGCCGAGAGCGGCCCTGGGAAAAGGGTGGGGACTTCCTGGGGGCCCAACGGCTCCACCGAATGCCCCAAAACCGCCGACGACAAAGTGTGCAAAAAAATGCACACTCCTCCTCCTCCTCCTCCTCCTCCAAGTCCTCGTCGTCCTCCTCCTCCTCCTCCTCCACCTCGTCCTCCTCCTCCTGCTCCTCGTCATCCTCCTCCATTCCTACTCCTTATCCTCCCTCCTCCCTGTCGCGCCCTGGGGCCAGTCGAAATGGCGGGCCGGGCGTTTCGCCTGACTTTCTCACCTTTTAGGATCCTGAAGTTGAAAACTGACAAGAGGTTCAGAGATGGAGGGCGTGCCGCTTCTAAAGTGTGGCTCTCGACTTAGCGCCGCGCACATTCGTTTACAAACATTTGCAACAGCTTCGCGGAGCGGACCGTTTTCAAAATGTGGCTCTCGCCTCAACACCGCTAACAATCGTTGTGAAAAAGCTAAGTGGGTTTCACGGATTCGCATGCGTAACATACCAATACTTGCGTTTCGGTGCGATTCAGGATGATCAAGGCGCAACAGTTAGATTGATTCGCGATGTTGAGGTCCCAAGAATTGTGTTCTGGCGCGATTCGTGGCGTTGGAGTGCCAAGAATCGTGCTCTGGCACGCTTTAAAATCTTCAAGCGGTTGTCTCCCAACAGCACACTTCCCCCAATGGACATGAATCCTCGAATTTGGTCTGTGAAAAGGGAGCTTGGAGGGAGGAATTATCCCTCCATCGTTGAGGAATATTGGGTTTACACTGGTCCTCCTCCTCCTCCTCCAGCTCCTCCTGTTTCCTCCCTTCTCCTCCTCGCTCCTTCCTCGCCTCCTTTCCTGTCTCCCACGCTTCACCCTCCAGAGGTCGGGGGGGCTCCGAGGATCCGAGGTGTCCCATCCTTCACGCGGACGTCGCCGATGCATCGCCGACGTCGCCGATGCATCGTGGATGCATCGCCGATGCATCGGCGACGCTTCGGCGATGCGGCGCAATCCTCCGACCCCATCTACTCGGACCCCATCTGGGAGGCCTAGACTTCAGAAATCCTCGAAGAATCCTCAAGACATCTTTGCAAATGTGGTCAAAATAGCGTGCCGTGATCCGGGAGGGAGGGAGAGGGCCGATCACGGCCGTTATCGCCCAGACCTTTCAAAAACAGGCCTCCAGGTGCAGCAACTCCGCTGCCAGTTCGGGAAGGTGTTCGCCATTGCATGCTGAGGTGAGAGGGCGTCAAAGGCCCCAACGGGCCCACTAAGAGCCCGGAGAGGGCCCCTGGAGAGCCCCGGCCTGGCCCAGGAGGGACTTTGGACGGACCCATGAAAACCCGAGAGGGCCCCCAGGCTTCACAGCGGGTCTCTTGCCAAGAGAGTCTCGCCCAAGAGCGCCAAAGAGGTACGTAGCCAAGGGACCCCATTACTGCCCCAAAGGAACCCAAAGGAAACCATAAGAGTCACAAAAGCATCCAGAGACATTGCAACGAGCTCCAAAAAGCTCCAAGATTCCACACGCACAAGGATGCACCAAGAACTCCAAGAGAAGCCCAACGATGTTTCCAGCGTGGCCCTGCGAAACGAAGAACAATGAAAACCATCATTGAATCTACTGCCGTCGCCTCTGGTGGAAACGGCGCGCCTACATTGGACCGGCGACCAGGACGCTGCCAGTGCACAGTGAGGCAGGTGAGAGAACCCCCATACGAGACGTTCCCCGCACCAGCCCGCACTGCCTGAGCGGAGGGAAGCATCACCTGGACGACCCACGCGAAACCCGTCTGCGGATAGAAACAACCAGCGCAACGGGAAGGGATGGCGGGGGGGGTAAGATGTCAGATGTGATGCGAGTGCACCTAGCTTGCCGCACCCCTCTTCTTTCCCTGCTCCGCGTCATTCCGCTGCCGCCGCTGCCCCTGCTGAGATCCGACGCCGCGAACAAAAATACAACGTCGTGGCAATGACGACCGAAGCCCCAAACCCAATCGGTCTGCCGGATCGACCTTTAAAAATCCCCAGGGCCCGAAACCGGCCCGTCCCCCTCCCCGCCGACCCCCCACGAAAGAAGCCCTGGCGGGCGCCAGGAGCGTGGCCCAGCGCCGCGCCTGCGCGCGCGGGCGCGCCACACGCCTGCACGTCCTTGTCGTAGCCGTAGATCCGGCAGGCGCGGCGGAACTCGCGGTAGCTCACCTCGGCCGAGGCAAGGAGTGCGAGGCAGGGAAATGTCCGTAACCACCGTCCAGGGGATCGACCGTCGGAGACTGCGGCAGGCGGTGGATATGGGCGCACACTGGGCCCCCAAATGCCCGATCATACCGTAGCACCCCGCGTATGGGGATAAGTGTGAGGGGGCGGTGGGGACGTCGGCAGTCGGCAGGGTTGTTGTTGTTGCTGCTGCTGCTGCTGTTGTTGTTGTTGTTGTTGCTGTTGCTGTTGCTGTTGTTGGTGCTCTTGGTGTTGTTATTATTGTTGTTGATGTTGCTGCTGTTGTTGTTGTTGTTGTTGTTGTTGTTGAAGTTGTTGTTGTTGTTGTTGTTGTTGTTGTTGTTGTTGTTGTTGTTATTGTTATTGTTGTTGGTAGTGTTATTGTTATTGTTGTTGTTATTGTTGTTGGTGGTGTTGTTGTTATTGTTGTTGTTTATTGTCGTCGTCCCCCCCCGCGACCCCCCCGCGACCCACCCCGCGAGCCACCCCGCGAGCCACCCCGCGAGCCACCCCACGACCCACCCCGCGACCCACCAACGACCCACCCCGCGAGCCACCCCGCGAGCCACCCCGCGAGCCACCCCGCGAGCCACCCGCGATCCACCCGCCACCGATCCACATTGGTTTGAAGAAAAAATCGGCGTTTGCGGCGGGCTCGTTGTATAATGTGTGAAATGTTGGCGCCTGCGGCGGGCTTCTCCAGAGTTTCGCAGACTGCCGACGTCCCCACCGCCCCCTCACTCTTATCCGCATGTGCGGGGGGTGTTACGGTGTGTGTGTGTGTGGTTTATATATATATACACACACGAGAACCACGCGCGCGCTACGCGCGCGCTTAGGTTCTAGCTTCGCCGGGAACAACGGCCAAACAACGGACGAGGAGGTTGAAGGCTGAATGCACTTCGGTTATTCGCCGAGTTTCGCGGTCGTGCTTCGAAAAGTTTTTGGGCGCTCCTCACCCCCAGGCGGCCCGAGGCGGCCGAAAACGACACCTCTTCCTCGTCCTCCTCTTTCCCTCTGCTCTTGCTCCTCTCCTCCTACTCTTCCTCCTCCCCCCACCGTCCCCTCCTTTTCCCCCTTCCTCCTCCTCCGCCCCAATTCCTCCCTCCTCCTCCTTTCCTGAGGAATCCTCATCCTCCTCCTCCTCCTCCTCCTCTCCTTCTCCTTCTCTCCTACTTCCCTCCCCCTCCTCCCCGCCTCCTCCCTCCTCTCCTCCTCCTCTTCCCCCTTCCCCCTCCTCCTCCTCCCAAATACCCCTTTCTCCTCCCCTCCTCATCCCATCATCATCATCATCATTCATCTCACCAACACCATCTCCATCTCATCAGGTTCTCCTCCCTCCTCCTCCTCCTACTCCTCCTCCTCTCCTCTCCTCCTCCTCCCCTCATCCCCTCCTCCTCTCCTCCGCCTCTCCTCCGTCCTCCTCCCCTCCCCCCCCTCCTCCTCCTCCGTCCCCTCTCTTCCTTCCTCCTCCTCGTCTCACTCCTCCTTCTCCTGCTCCTTCTCCTCCTCCTGTTCAGACTACGCGGCTCGCCAAACGGCACTCCGACGCCGCGCAAGCATTGGGCCACATCGGATACAAAAGGAAGCACTCGGGGGAGGCCTCCCGCTTTCTCTTCCTCCTCCTTCTTTCCTCTTCCTCCACATCCTCCTCCCCTCCTCCTGCTCCTCTCTCCGCCCCACCTCTCCTCTCCTCTCTCCTCGTCTCCTCCTCCTTCCTCCCTCCTCCTCCTCATCCTCCCCCTCCCCACCTCCTCCTCCTCCCCCTCCCCTCCCTTTTTCCTCCTCCTCCTCCCATTCATCGTCATCATCATCATCGTCATCATCATCCATCGTCATCATCCGCATCATTATCATCCGCATCGTCATCATCATCATCATCATCATCACCATCATCATCATCATCATCATCATCATCATCATCGTCATCATCCCTTTTCCCTCCACCCCCCCCCGCCCCCCTTCTCTCCTCTCCCCCTCCTCCCCCCCTCGTTATCCTCCTCCTCCTCCTCCTCCTCGTCCATCTCCTCTTCCTCCTTTCCTCTTCCCCCCGCCCTCCTCCCCCGCCTCCTCCGCGCGTCAGAAATCCAACAACATGTCGCGGAAATCAGCGAACTGTGTCCCTCCGGGTTTTTTCGGGCGTCCTTTTAGGACTTGTCGGGGCCGTCTTAGGGCCCCCTTGGGCGCCCTGGGAACCCGGAAATCACGTTCCGATAGAGGCTTCGGAGAACGTGATTTCGGACGCTGCGTAAGAGGCCCCCCACGAATCTCTACAGGCAGCTCTGCTTGCCCCCGTTGTGGCTCTGTTGGGTGCCTTTTGGGGCTCTTTTGGGCTGGCTTGTAGCTCTCATGGGTCATATTGGGTCCCTCTTGGGCCGTCTTGGGGCTCCTCGGGGTGGCACTGTGAAGACGTCGTCGTCGTCGTCGTCGCCGTTCGCCGATCGGCGGCGTCAACTGTTGTCATCGTCGTCCATCGTCGTCGTCGTCGTCGTCGGTCGTCGCCGTCGACGACCGTCGTCGTCATCGTCAATCACCGTCGCCGATTACCGTCGCCGATCGTCGATCGGCCCCGAGCCCTCCCGCCCACTCCTCCTCATCTCCTCCTCCTCCTCCTCTTCCTCCTCCTCCTCCTCCTCCTACTCTGCCTCCTCTTCCTCTTCCTCCTCCTCCTCCTGAAATCATGTTCCCGGAGACGCTTCCGGGGACAGGATTTCGAACGATGCAGAAAAGACTGGGTCCAGGGTGACTCTGCGCACGCGGACAGCGTCGCCGCCGTCGGCGCGGCCGTCGTCGTCGTCGTCGCCGTCGATCGTCGATCGGCGACGTCGACTGTTGTCATCGTCGTCTATCGTCGTCGTCGTCGGTCGTCGACCGTCGTCGCCGTCGTCGTCGTCGTCGTCGTCGTCGTCGTCGTCGTCGTCGTCGTCGTCGTCGTCGTCTTCACTCACCGTCGCCGGTCGTCGTCGCCGATCGTCGATCGCCCTCGAGCCTCCTCCTTTCACCCCCCCTCCTCCCATCCATTCCTCCTCCCCGCCTCCTCCTCCTTCTCCTCTTCCTTCCTTTTCCTCCTCCTCCTCCTCCTCCTTCGCCCTCTCCGTCTCCTCCGCGCGGAAGAAATCCAACAACATCTCGCGCAAGTCAACGAACTATGGCCCTACGGGCCTTTTTGAACGTCCATTTAGGGCCTTCGGGGGCCGCCTTAGGGCTCTCTTGGGCGTCGTGGGAACCAGGAAATCATGTTCCCGGAGAGGCTACTGGGAACATGGTTTCGAAAGAGGCCCTCTTGGGCTTCCCTGAGGCCGTGTTGGGGGCCTCCTGGGCCAACTTTGGGGCCTCTTGGGCCGTCTTGGGGGTTCCGTGAGCCTCACAAGACGACCCTTTTGGGCCGTCTTGGGCCCTCTTGGGTCTCTCTTGGGCTGTCTTGGGGCTCGGGGGCGTCTGGGGCGCTGCGAGGACCAAGCAAGCAAATATACTGAAAACGTACGTTGTACAACGGGAGTGGGCCGATTTTTGCCTCTTGGAGGCCCTCTTCGGCCAGCTTCAAACCATCTCTGGCCCTCTTGAGGCGCTCCTGGACGTCTTGGGGCCCCCTTGGGCCTCGCTGAGGCTGTCGGACAGCGTCGCCGCCGTCGGCGTGGCCGTCGTCGTCGTCGCCGTCGATCATCGATCGGCGACGTCGACTGTTGTCATCGTCGTCGATCGTCATCGGTCGTCGTCGTGGTCGTGGTCGTCGTCGTCGTGAATCACCGTCGCCGGTCGTCGTCTCCGATCGTCGATCGCCCTCGAGCCTCCTCCTCTCTCCCCCCCTCCTCCCCTCCACTCCTCCTCCCCGCCTCGTCCTTCTCCTCTTCCTCTTCCTCCTCCCCCTCCTCCTCCTCCTCCTCCTTCGCCCTCTCCGTCTCCTCCGCGCGGAAGAAATCCAACAACATTTCGCGAAAATCAGCGAACTGTGGCCCTCCGGGAATTTTTGAATGTCATTTTAAGCCCTTTTGGGGCCGTCCTGGGGCCCTCTTGGGCGTCCTGGGAACCCGGAAATCACGTTCCCGGAGAAGCTTCTGGGAACATGATTTCGAACGAAGCCCTCTTGGGCCTCCCTAACTAAGGCCATCTTGGGGGCCTCCTGGGCCGGCTTTGGGGCCTTTTGGGCCGTCTTGGGCTGTCTTGGGGCTCCTCGGGGGCCACTCTGAGGACGAAGCAAGCGAGTATGCTGAAATTGTACGTTTTACAAGAATGGGTAAAGTTCTGCCTCTTGAAGGCCCTCTTGGGGCCCTCTTCGGCCATCTTCAAGCCAGGGCGCTCTTGTCTTGGGGCCCTCTGGGGCCTCGATGAGCGTCGCGCCGTCGGCGTCGGCGTCGTCGTCGTCGCCGTCGATCATCGATCGGCGTCATCGTCGTCGATCGTCATCGGTCGTCGTCGTGGTCGTCGTCGTCGTCGTGAATCACCGTCGCCGGTCGTCGTCTCCGATCGTCGATCGCCCTCGAGCCTCCTCCTCCTCTCTCCCCCCCTCCTCCCCTCCACTCCTCCTCCCCGCCTCGTCCTTCTCCTCTTCCTCTTCCTCCTCCCTCCTCCTCCTCCTCCTCCTCCTTCGCCCTCTCCGTCTCCTCCGCGCGGAAGAAATCCAACAACATTTCGCGAAAATCAGCGAACTGTGGCCCTCCGGGAATTTTTGAATGTCATTTTAAGCCCTTTTGGGGCCGTCCTGGGGCCCTCTTGGGCGTCCTGGGAACCCGGAAATCACGTTCCCGGAGAAGCTTCTGGGAACATGATTTCGAACGAAGCCCTCTCGGGCCTCCCTAACTAAGGCCATCTTGGGGGCCTCCTGGGCCGGCTTTGGGGCCTTTTGGGCCGTCTTGGGCTGTCTTGGGGCTCCTCGGGGGCCACTCTGAGGACGAAGCAAGCGAGTATGCTGAAATTGTACGTTTTACAAGAGGAATGGGTAAAGTTCTGCCTCTTGAAGGCCCTCTTGGGGCCCTCTTCGGCCATCTTCAAGCCATCTCGGGCCCTCTTGGGGCGCTCTTGGACGTCTTGGGGCCCTCTGGGGCCTCGATGAGGCTGTCTTGTGTGCCTCTTGGGCTGTCACGC